CAGCCTGGCTAGGGAATTCTGGGAGTTGAAGTCCACATATCTTAAAGTCGCCAAGGTTGAGAAACACTATTCTATAGAGATGGGTAAGCCTGGGGGTGCAGGGAAGGAGATATGGCACTACTAGTGCAGGAAAAACACCATTACAAAATATTCCTCCAGATACACTTTGTATCTGCACTGTAAGGCTTTTAACTGCAACCCAAAATAAAAAAACTAATCCATCTGGAGGCTCATTATTTGTAATAGAGTAGTTTGCTCCTCCAGTTAGCAATGGTGATTCAATCTGAGTGTATATATGTATCTATATATCTATATCATTTTTATTAAAGATTTTTAAAAAGGAAGATTAAAAACTAATACAAACTAATATAAGGCAAGAAAAAGAAAAGAAAAAGAAAGAAATCAAAGAGAAAAGTACAAGAAAGGAAAAAAAGTAAAAGAAAAATAGAAAAGAGAGAAAAAAGATACAAAGAAGTAGCTACCAACTTTATTTACAGCAATTATAAGAACAATTATAAATTTACCTCTTACTCTATGGTTACAACATAACTTTCTTCTTTCTATAACCTATCCTGTCTAATCATCAAAACCATAAAGCATGCTGGCTGGGGAATTCTGGGAGTTGAAGTCCACAGATCTTGAATTTGCTAAGGCTGAGAAGCATTGCAATATTATCATACAACTTCCAGTACTACAGGAGCCGTACTGATGCCAATTTGCTTCCAGTGCAACTGAAGGAGTAGGTGATAATTTATAAAATCCTACATGGCTTGGGACTTGGGCATCTGTGAGACTGCTTATTTCAAGTAGAATCTGACCTCCAAAGGGTGCCAGCAGAGTGTATATTGAGTGTTTCTTCTTTTGTCTGAAGTGCGGCAGGGAAGGCAGTTAAAGGCAAATATCCTTTGCCAGAGGTCCCCTCCGGTGGAACTGATTGCTCCCAGAAATATACTAGCTCAAAATTATTATACTAGCTCAACACTGTTAATTCAAAGAGCTTAAGCTTGGGCTGTTTAGATGGAGATTGAGGAGTTAATGGAGTATGTGGTTTGGTGTTGGTTATTATTATTATAATTGATGCTGGCTTTTGTGAGTTGCTCAGATTCTTTTGACTGAAGTTGCATAAAGTCACCTGTGATAAATAATTAATAAATAAACAGGAACAAACACTTAGTCAATCACTATATACTGTATTTAGCCTGGCTTGTTGGGCAAAACCAGATGGTTAGATTAGGGTTCCGTGCATCACAAGAGCTCAGTAAAACATGGATAAGCACATCAATGCAAACACACCCAATGTGCTAATTCACCCCAATAAAGTTCACCCACAAAACCTGCAGCGTATCTCTAAGTTATGTGTGGCTTGATTGTTACTGCCATCTGAAAACAGTATTTTTATAGTGACTTCTAAATATTAAATGTCCATATAGAGAGTCTAGTGGTACCAATGGTGGACCAGAACTTATAGAAGTTATGAAAATGCTTATTACAAAAACGTGTGAACAGTTTTTAATACATGGATGCAATTCAATACATTTTAAAATAAGGGAATACTATTTTATGCAGTTTAAAATGCAATTGACCATCATAAAGCTTGAAAAAAATATGGGTTTAAAGTCTCCCATATTTTTGTATAAGACTCCCATAAAGTCTGTAAATCATGCTAAAGAATGACTGCAAATAAACATCAGGATTCTTTTCTGACTAACAAATTTTATGAATGGGCATAAGCTTTCAGGAGCTGCAGTTCACTTCATCAGATTAAGAGAAGGGCTAGACTGATGCTACCAGACTCCTGAATTTTTGCCACCATAGACTAACATTCCTCCTACAATGTCCAAATAAACATATTTCTGTTCACTAGGGGAAATATACTAAACATACAATAATGGTTCATCCTTCCATTATTTTGATTTTTTGTCAAATTCATTTTTGTGACTAAAGGTTTGTATCTTAGTGTAGAAACAAAGCAAAACACAACACAGCTAGATAGCTGGTCACACTCTGTTCTTCTCACCTCTGTTTGGTTTTATTCTTTTGCATAATTTTCTGACTAAAGTACCTTAGTTAAATCAAAATCCTTAAAATGCCAGTTGCACCATGTTGGATGACTGTAAGTTGCCACTGCTGGAGGTAACCCAAGTTTTTTTCACTGTAATAAAAAAATCAGTTCTTACTTAAAAATCCAAACAAAACAAAATGGAATAACAACAGAACTCGGGTATCTGTGTACTTTCACTCAGTAGCTTTCCCTGCAACTCAGAACTAGATTAGGAAAACGAGCACGTTTCTTCACTAGACATCCTTACTTGATTTTCTACTGCATGTTTTATTACTTTTTAGTTTATGGATATATCACACACACACTAAATAAAATATAAAGATTACACAAAATTATAAAAAAGAAAAGCTGATAAAAGACAAAAGCATATGTATTTACAAACATACATATATCAATAAACTGATGCCATGATTCATTAGTCATCTGTAGCTCATCTATAAACCACTGAATAATTTGAAGCATGTTTCTTTCCCATGCTGAACAGTGAGTCTTTCGACTGTGAGTCCATTTCTTTGTCCGAAAGTCAACTGCCATGTGGTAAGAGATAAACTTCGAAAGAACATAAACATCCGAGAATACCGAATCTCGAAGTTGAGTCAGTCCATGTAATTGCTTCTTACTGAAATGGAACAATATGGTTAAATAAAGCATTGATTTCCCTGTATCTCCAACAACATAAACTCAATGAGGTCATTTCTACAATATTATTTCTTGTTGAAAAGGATGTGATCTAAAAATCTATTGCTATGTGGTTCTGCGAGCTAACCCCACTACTAATTATGTTCGTCTTGAAGGATGGGCATGGAACCGACTGAGCACCATAAACCTGAAGAAATAGTTTATTTAGATTTCCAGTGACTCTCTGTATCATCCACCAGTATTTATGGAGACTACAGCCCAAAATTGGCACGTGCAGGAAAAACGCATAACGATC